TCAAACCTCATCCACTACGTTCAAACGTCTCATCCACTACGTTCAAACCTCATCCACTACGTTCAAACGTCTCATCCACTACGTTCAAACGTCTCATCCACTACGTTCAAACGTCACATCCACTACGTTCAAACGTCTCATCCACTACGTTCAAACGTCACATCCACTACGTTCAAACGTCTCATCCACTACGTTCAAACCTCACATCCACTACGTTCAAACGTCTCATCCACTACGTTCGAACCACATCCACTACGTTCGAACCTCATCCACTACGTTCGAACGTCATCCACTACGTTCAAACAGCAGGAAAATGTTCGCCACAGTCTGAACGGCCCAGTTCAGATGTTTTCACTGCAGTCAATGCTCCACTAAAGGCCGTTACTGTTTGCTGTGCTTCATTAGCTTCGTTCACCTTATGATATTGTTGGCTCTCATGTCAGAATAAACTTTAAAATCAGTCAATAGACGGCAGCATCCATTATTGCTTCTGTAAAAAGATGCTGCTGTGTGACATCGTCTCATGTTTTTCTTCTGCGATGCGGGTCATAAAACATTCCCATAGACGTCTCATTTCATTCTCATTTAATTAGCAACATGAACAACCACACAAAAAAAGAAAAGAAAAAACATAATCGACCATGTGTGATCCTCCTGGATAGAAAGTGTAAAAAACGATGCCAAATAAAGTTTGCACCATCACGTAACTCAGAACAGGAAGGAGGTTCCAGCCCAGAGATAAAATCACTTCAACTCGAGAGCTTTGATAGATAAACTCACTTCTTAAGGTCGGTTATGTGACCTTCTTGCTGTTGGGTTTTGACAGAAGGTGGAGGAGTGATCTTGTTCTAGGAGAAGCCCATGGTGACAGTCATCATTCTGCCACTTATGAATAAACCATAAGTTACAATCAGTTCTGATGCTTCCAATGTGAGTTCATGGTGTAATTTGGCTCATTTCAAAATATTTGATATTCCTTATTTGATGTCTCCCTTGAAATTTTGAGGAAAAATCTTTGGCAGTGTCTTCAGGGTTCAGTCATAAAGACTTATTCAGTGCTGACAGATCATATTTATTTGTGATCATTTGGATTAATCATTACTGTTTGCAAAGCGAGACTGACATGAAACCTTTTTTATTTTTCTAGTCACCGATGCATCATATCGATCACTTCCAACATGTCCAACATGTCCAACATGTCCTGCAGTAAAAAGTAAGTCCATGATCTGATCTTTGTCTCATTTCTGTCCTGTAATGATGTTAAAGAGACATTGATGGACTGACAGAGACAGGAAGTTAGATTGTAGCTGCAGGACAGAAGACGCCTCCTGCTGTCTCCAAACCACACAAACATCTACAGAGATTTATTCCTCCTGGTTCACTGAAGGCTTTGTTCTGATCTGTTTGAAGATGAAACATTTCTGGAGTGTGAACCAGGCTGGGAGAAACATGGAGGAAACTGTTATTATTTCAACACCAATAAATCCTCCTGGACTGACAGCAGACGTTCCTGCACTGATCTGGGATCAGACCTGGTGAAGATCGACAGCAGAGAGGAGCAGGTATGAAACTCTGCTGCAGGTCCAGCTTCTCTCTGGTTTCATCTCATCATCATGATTCTTCATCTCAGCTCAGAAAAATCTAACAGTCATTTCATCAATTTCTCCTGTTCAGATGTTCCTGGAGATGAAACTGAGAGGCTTGATGATGAACCAAACAGAGAAATTCTGGATCGGACTGACAGACTCGAAGGAAGAAGGCAAATGGTTCTGGGTAAATGGATCATCTCTAGATGAAAGGTTTGAAGGTCCTTGAAAATATCCTGGTGTATTTTAACATCTGATGGATTTTTTAAGATGTTTATCTTGTTTTAAATCACAGTCTGAGTTTTTGGAGTGAAGACCAACCTGGAAGCAAACATGGAGGAAATAAAACTAAAGATAAGGACTGTGTGACGATGAGAAAGAAAAGAAAAGATGACCTGAATAACTGGTTTGGTAGATCCTGTGATGAAACTAACAGAAGCATCTGTGAGAAAGCAGCAAATGTGTCTCAATGTTTTTGTCTGTGAAGATAATTCAGTTTACAAAATAAATATATCTTCTGATTAATCTCATTGGCTGTAAGACAAAGAAAATAAAACATGAAAAAACTAAAACCTGTTGATTCTGCATCATTTTGTTCTTTAGCACATATTATTAATACAACATAAAACTAAACACTGAACTCAAACATTAACGATAATTTCAGTCCCAGATTCCTGGATGCTGTTCCAAATTAAACTATTTAAAGTGAAAGTAAAGAAATGTGAATCATTCAACCCTAAAATAATTTCCACTGATGATTAATTTTTTCCACATTGACGACAGCGTTGATCTGCGGTTTGTGTTGATAATCAATCAGAAACATGTTATGAAATCAACCTGTCAGTAATAATACGGCTGTTTAAATATGAAAACTTTTCTGGGATTTTTGCAATAAAACTTTTAACTGAAGAGTTTTAAATGCAAATCTGTAAAAATTAAAACTCATTTCTGGTTTTTATGAGTCTGAATCAGCTCATATTTAAATATCTGATTCTCTCTGGACAGTCAGACTTTGTGGCAACGTGACAGGAGTTTGGTGCTTTTCACAAGTTAATTATTGCTTAAGTGTATTGAATTAAATGTATTAAATCAGCTTTAAGGAGGAATGAACTGTGTGGTGACTGAGTGGTTTCCTGCTGGTTAGAGTAACTTTATGCATCAATGTTCACAGCAACTCACTGAAAATTTAAAATCAATCCGATTCAAGCTACTAAATATTCAACAGTGACTCAAACTAAATGTTATTTCAGCTTCTTTATAAACCCTATTTATTTTTAACTTCACTTTACTCTGTAAAATGTGTAAGGTGAAAGAAATGCAGAGATTGTGCTTCAGTGAATTAAACTGAAAACTGATTTAAAATTCCTTACAAACATGAAACTTTGTGTTCAATAACACCTGCTGTCTGAAATGAGGAAATCTTTTAATCTGATGGAATATCAGGTTCCTCCTCAGTGAACTCCAGAGGAATGTTTTCAACATCAATTTGTAAAGGTTTTTGTTTATTCAGTAACTTTTATATATTTACAATCAGAGGAATAATTCACAGCTGGTTTGAGAAACAGTTTATTTTATATTTGTTCTTTCTGCACAATCAAATGCAACTAATGCAAAAAAAACCAAAAACATTTTAATAAAACTTTTAAATATTGTGTAATTTCAAAATGGACCACAGGATGGCAGCACGTCTTCTCATGTGTTTTAAAGTGTAAAGATTTAAACACATTTTAGAAAAAGTGAATTGTAAATAGTAATAATGTCCTGTGAATAATAAAGATGAAAAAGTTTTACTGTAGTCAGAATGAGATGAAAACTAATAAAATTATTGGTGCATGAGGAAGTAAAAGTTATCAGGAAGTTTCTTAACCACTAGGTGGTGAAATTTAAATGAGCCCAGAACTTGTTTCCATCAGAGACATTTACAAGCTTCCTGTGGCTTTTAAAAAAATTAACTCATTATTTAAACGCAGACAGTTGGAGGAACTCCGACTTTAAACGATGAGCCGACCGCAGAGGAACGCTGAAGGTAAGAAGATCATTAAACTGCTGGAACTGCAACGTTTTGGCTGCGTAGAGCTTTTTTTTTATCATTAAATATTTAAATTTAAACAAAAACATGTTTTGTTAATTGGAGTTATAGTTGCCTTATCCAGAATAATCTGTATGTAGTTTCAATAATTTACTAATTTAATTTCAAAAGTGGATAATCTTTGTTTTTTTAAACTACACGTTCTCAACAATCTCAAGGATTTTGATTTGCAGCAGAAGAAACTCAGCAGTTTCCTCAGAGCGACTGAGTGACTGTCAGCTGTCGCTACGTTAGGAAGGACAGTGAAAGCTGCAAGTCAGTGACTGATGACTAGAAAATTAACTTTTTAGCCTTTTGTATAATAAACTTAACTTGACTGCTCTGTTTAATAACTAAGATAACTTGGAACTGATATGTGACTTAGAATCTGTGTGTAGGATTTGTTTGCATTGACTTTTTGTAAAATACTTTGAGATGATACTTGTTCATTGGTGAAACCACCTGATGATGTATTCACATGTAGAACCAGGCTGACACATAAAACTCTGCACCAGCTGTAAGCAGCAGCTCTGGTGCCTGTCAGTAAAGGAGTAAATGGTACCGGTTACATGGAGCTTCGATGGCTGCTGGTTCCTGCGGTTCAGGTTCTGACCGTCTCCATCGCTGCGTTCTGTTTGAGTGAAAGCAGGAGCTCAGCTCATGACTCTTAACGAGGAAAACGTGACTCCAAATCCCAGGTGTGAGCAGCACCTGTGATTAATTCACCTCTTATGAGGAGAATAAAGTTTGGCCAACAGCATTTCAGCAAAGAAAATTCACATTCAGACACACATCCACAGTGGGAAGAAGCTACACTGTAGCCAAGCTGCATTTTGTTTGAAGTCTGTTTCCATCTCCTGCCAGACGTTGATGCGACTCACCATGGAAACCCAAAGCGAACCTCTGAGCTGCCGTTCGATAAGAAACTCCATCTGGTTCTGGGCTCTCTGCTGGCTGTGGCTCTGCTTGTTATTGTTCGTCTCGGTGAGTCCTGGTTTTCTATGCTGTATTGTATTGTATTATGTGTCATGCT